ACATTTTTTTTGAGATAATTTGAGAAATTNAGCAGACTTAACATTGACGTTTGAGGGGTAATCATTCTTACGAGAAATTAAGTAACTGAAATTCTAAAGGTTTTTTTTTAGGTAAAAATAACATTAAAAAAAAAAAGATTCGGAGGGTTGAAAATCTTTTGAGAGGTATTCTAGTGCTTAAACACATTTTTTTTGAGATAATTTGAGAAATTATAAAGTTGATACTACTTCAATATTTTGGCTATAAATTTTTTGCTCCCGATGTCTCNATTTTTTGCTCCTGATGTCTCTAATTTAAGTTAATTCATGCAACATTTGAAAAAAGATGCCAAGCTCCACAAAAGTGTATTACATAGACATCTGTGAATCGATCTTTAATTAAATCAAAATTGAGCCAAAAATTTAGAGTAAAAAATCACCAACGTCTAAACAAGGAAAGAGACACCTTGCTATAAAATTTATCTTATATTATAGTTAAAANAATTTTTTGCTCCCGATGTCTCTGATTTAAGTTAATTCATGCAACATTTGAAAAAAGATGTCAAGCTCCACAAAAGTGTATTACATAGACATCTGTGAATCGATCTTTAACTAAATCAAAATCGAGCCGAAAATTTAGAGTAAAAAATCACCAACATCTAAACAAGGAAAGAGACACCTTGCTATAAAATTTATCTTATATTATAGTTAAAAAATTAAAATTTTAATTTATAGAAACCTAACAATGATTCAAATTGATTCAATTTTATTTATTTNGGTATAAGTTTGAATAAAGAGAAGTTTGAATAAAGGACCCGAAGTTATTTTTAACCAGTTTTTACTCAAATTTAAATTTAAATAAGAGTTTGCGTAAGAAATAGAGATAATAAGGGCATCTCCAATAATACTTTTTGTTTCAAATAGTATCTTTGATAAAATTTAGAAATAAAGAGTGAACTATTTTAGACAACTCTAATGACTTTTCTATTTTAGTAGAAAATTAATCTTATAGTCAATAGCATTTAGTTAAGAATGTATAGTATCATATTTTCTTTCATTAAAAATATAATAGAGAGTGATGGTTTGCTCTCCAAATGTAGAGAGCTTATTGAAACTTGATTTTTGATGATTTTCTCTCAAAAATAGAGAGTTAAATGAGAATAAAAGGTCTATTAGAGATACTCTTCTTACAAAATTTATATGTATTATACACACAAGTGTAAAGTGAATCAGTTAGACAAATTAATTAGGGCTGATTTAACAGGGAAATAAAGAAGAAAAAAAAAATACTAGGCTTCTGCTCCTCAATTAAAGGTTCCATGGATATAAATATAGGGTATGAGAGCTATGTGACTTTGAAAGAATTAATGACAATGTGCAAAAGGATAACAAAAAACGGTGCGGTTATTCTCACCCTACAAATATTTATTCTCACCCATTAAAATTTTTAGAATCAAACTATTAAGTCCATCACTTTTATACTCACCACATTTTAACTAAGTCCAACTCATGCTATCCACATCCTTTTAATAACAAGTCCACTTTGTATTTTCTCAAAACTAGGACTTCATTCATTATTTTTTCTTATATATCATATACGAAAATGGTTTTTAAATATGAATTTTCCTAATGAGATGCATGCTAATATTATTTTTTGATTTAACTTTTTTGTTAGATTTCATGTTTACTGTGTGATTTCATGTTTGATTATGTTTAAGTTTAATTATTTTTGATTTAGGTTTTTTATATGTGTGTGTGAGTGTGTTAATTATATATATATATATACACACACGTTTGCAATAAGAAGGAAAAAGAAACATTTTAAATTCTTGTGTTGACTATTTATAGTTGTACATATAATTTTTTGGACGGTTAATCTAATAGATATTGTTTTGACAGAAATTAGAATCATCTTGAATAATTCATAAATACAGAAAGTGATATATTCATCTTACTTATTAATCAATATTGAAAAACTATTTTATGAAGGGTGTATTGGAGAAGATAATGAATGAAACTCTAATTTTGAGAAGATAGAAGGGGGGCTTGTTATTAAAAGGGTGCGTATGACATGGGGTGAACTTAATTGAATTGGGTTGAGTATAAAATGAGTGAGCTTAATAGTTTGATAATAAAAATTTTAATAGGTTAGGAATAGATATATTTATGGGGTGAGAATAACTCCATCCTAACTAAAAAAGGTGAAACTTGCCCATGAAATTGAAAATTTAAACAGCTATATAACTTAAAAAAGGGATAAAAAATACTGACCAAATGATATGGTATTAATATAATAAGATAAATTTGAATTTCAAATGCGTAAATATTAAATCAACAATACTGATAATGTCACATAATTGATCCCTTTTTTTGGGTCAATCTAACATTACTTAAATTTAATACTTGACTGTACTTTTATTTCGTAGATTCTTCATACATATCTCGTGACTAAGAAATAATTAAATATAAAATATCCAATGAATTTGATATGGAGAGTGAGAGAGAAACTATTTGGAATGGGTTGTGAAATGCACTTTTTTTTATAGTGAGGTGGGAGACTTGAACTCTTAACTTCAATAAGATAAAATCTTCAGAAAGTAAGAAATATCATTAGACCAAAAACTTACTAGTGTGAAATGCACTTACAAGACTTAAAACTCCACAAAAATATGATGTCTTTAGGTAACTTTAGAAATGGACATGTAAGTAGGCGGATTAAAAGAGGTTGACCCATGTATAACAAACTGAATGGTGGTGAAAGGTGACACTGAACTTGGGGATATCATTTTAGGGTTTTTTATGTTGCGGGGCATATCCAGAGGGGTTCATCAATGCCGGAGATCATCACGTTGCCGGAGTTCCTTGTCGTCATCGGAAGCCAACAAACATCCTTCGTCGTCGAAGAAGAATGAAGCTGAAAGTGACTGAACTTAAAAAATAAGTTTGAAAGTAACTAATTTTGGGAATTAATCCTTTTTTTTTGGTACAAAAAATGAATATGTAGATAGATCAGTCCACATATCCGCCAAGGAACATTGCCCTTCAGTACTACACAGCTATCCATAGGGGACTCTATCACACTTACATCAAAGTCGAAGTTAAGGTCCCACCGCATACTTTGAGTGCTAAAGAATAGATATAGTTCTAACGAGTTGTCATAGCTATGTAAATTCAAATCTAAGCATTAAACGAAGAAATTTGAATTTTTACTCATTAGACCTATGATCGCACAACCTATAGCTTATACTATTTCCACCACTATAATGTCATCCCCTACCCACTATGCCCAATACTTGGATAGTATGTGTAGCATTCTTGGCACAATTTCAGTCTTGATGTGAATGGGATATTGTCGCAGTTGGTTACAAGACCTTATATATTTTATTTTAATATAAAATATATTATTTAATATGTTATTAATTTGTTAAACAAGATTATTGTTGTAAGAATAATTGAGACTTTTAGCAGACTTAACATTGACGTTTGAGGGGTAATCATTCTTACGAGAAATTAAGTAACTGAAATTCTAAAGGTTTTTTTTTAGGTAAAAATAACATTAAAAAAAAAAAGATTCGGAGGGTTGAAAATCTTTTGAGAGGTATTCTAGTGCTTAAACACATTTTTTTTGAGATAATTTGAGAAATTATAAAGTTGATACTACTTCAATATTTTGGCTATAAATTTTTTGCTCCCGATGTCTCTGATTTAAGTTAATTCATGCAACATTTGAAAAAAGATGTCAAGCTCCACAAAAGTGTATTACATAGACATCTGTGAATCGATCTTTAACTAAATCAAAATCGAGCCGAAAATTTAGAGTAAAAAATCACCAACATCTAAACAAGGAAAGAGACACCTTGCTATAAAATTTATCTTATATTATAGTTAAAAAATTAAAATTTTAATTTATAGAAACCTAACAATGATTCAAATTGATTCAATTTTATTTATTTATTTTGATTTAATGGCATAAAATTTATTTCAAATTTGTTTTCTCCTGCTCAATAACATCATATTTCTCTATACGATCCCAAATGTTAAAAAAATCAACCAACAAACTTGTCAATATCAGATAACCTTATTAAACTATACCTACCTCTCTCCTCTTCCTCTCTTATTTTTTTGTTTACTTTAATTTTAAAATACATAATTAAAAATAAATAAATTAATATCTAAAATATAAATGTTACTCTTGATTTTTGACATTGCAAAGTGTTTTCAGATACTTAAGTCATTTTATTTAATGTAATTAGGACTATTAATAAATCATATCTTGTTGGATTTATTTTATGTTTTGTCATGCTCAAATATTTTGAATCCAATATATACTAAGGTTTGCATCATTTATTTGTTGTTTGTAGATTTAATCCTTATCTTTTTCACCANAGTATCTAAAATATAAATGTTACTCTTGATTTTTGACATTGCATAGTGTTTTCAGATATTTAAGTCCTTTTATTTAATGTAATTAGGAGCATTAATAAGTCATATCTTGTTGGATTTATTTTATGTTTTGTCATGCTCAAATATTTTGAATCCAATATATAATAAGGTTTGCATCATTTATTTGTTGTTTGTAGATTTAATCCTTATCTTTTTCACCAATAATTAAATTTAATTCTATCTAATGGTCGTATTACATCTTTATTTAAATTTGAAATGGACCACATTTAAATTTAAATTTTTTATTATTTAAAAAAAATTATCCAATCTATACCAAATCAAACTACTTATATTGTTTTTACTTAAATTTGGGTAAGGAAGATGATCTAGTTTCATTATTATCTAGGGCTAAATTAAGTCAATAATTTAGGCATTAATTNATTGGACTACATTTAAATTTAAATTTTTTATTATTTAAAAAAAATTATCCAATCTATACCAAATCAAACTACTTATATTTTTTTACTTAAATTTGGGTAAGGAAGATGATCTAGTTTCATTATTATCTAGGGCTAAATTAAGTCAATAATTTAGGCATTAGTTTTTAGAAATTGAAGCAGCCAAGAAGGGAGAAAGAGATGGCAGCCAAACCTGGTGCAAAGGCTGAGGGTGTTTATGGATCTGAATCTCCTCCAGAAGAAGAACAACCACTGTTGAAAAAACAGAAATTCGATGCGGAAGATGGCAACCAAGAACCACTAGTAGAAGGAAAAGAAGATGATTCTGATGATTGGCATGAAAATAAAGTGACCAAAGAAGAGTGGGCGAGGTATAACAAACAAGTCGAAGAAAGCGAGGTACATTCGATTCGGCGTTTATTTTTTATTTTTACTTATCTAACAACCTGATTGTTTATGGTTTTTGACTCTTATTTAACTTCACGTACCTACAGGGCTTTGACGTTGACAAACTTCCCGATAACCAATTGTGTGGTTTGATTGTACCAATTACAAACTTTGATTGTGATTCCTGGTGGCTTAAGAATGTCACCTGCTGTTCAAGCTTAGCCATAGATTCGTACAACACTGAAAATGTATGCCCTTGCATGTTTGTTGTGTAGTAAAATACTCCATAAGTATTATTTTTTTCATTAGCTCTTTATTTATTTATTTTGTGTTGGATTTAAGTGCTTCCTTAAAATGTAGGGTACAAATTACAAGTATTTGAAGGCCCTCAAATAAAATGTACAGCCTGTTGCGGGCTTTATGATGTATATCACTTTTGTGGCTGAGAATGTTGATGGTGGACATTGTATCTTTCAAGCTCTGGTGTACCATGGAATTGGTGAGCATGAAGTCGAGTTTTGTAGGCTTAAACAAGAAAAGGGAGTGGCTCAGTTGCCTAGAGCATGTGGCTGTTAAACCACAAGGTAGGCTGAAACCAAAATACTAATTGCTCTGAAGGTATATTTTGTTTTTGTTACTTATTTGGACTACAGGACCTTTTCTTTCTTTCTTTCTTTAGAATTTTTCCTTAATCTATTTACCTGTTAAAAGGATAGATCATGAACGGCTTTTTCTCATGTTGAAAAGTAGAAACCTAAGACTAAAATAATCGACATTGGGTTTAGCTGGGTTGATGGGGAAAGGGATGCAACATAATGTCCTCAACATACTTAAGGAAGGACCACTAGCAATGACTACTCAAAGGCAAGTGTGTCAACCATTTGCTCTTTTTTCACTTATTTTTTTTAATGGGACATACGAATTGGGGTCACAAATGAGGCTTCACTTGTCCATCGTGGGCGGTATAGTAGAAGTCAGGTTAGTATATTCTGTAAACCAAAATACTAATTGCTTTAAAGGTATATTCTGTTTTTTGTTATTTATTTAGACTGCAGGACTTTTTCTTTAAGGATAGGTCATGAATGTCGTTTTCTCATGTTGAGAAGTAGGTATCATTGATTAAACATACAAAATTTAAAAATAGTTTAGATGGTTTGTCTAATTTCATATTCGAGTTTGGGTTTAGAGGGTTGATGGCAAAAGGGATGCAATATAATGGCCTCAATGTACTTAAGGAAGGACCACTAGCAATTAATATTCTAGAGGGGTAAATTTTGGGGTCACAACTGAGGTTTCATTAGTTCATCGTGGAACTACTAAGCTCGATATGTGATTTGGGTAGGAAGGAAAGGTTTCCATTTATATGTTTGATGAGATCTGGAGAAGGTTGTCTTATAACACAAGAGAATCAAAAAAGAAGGAGAAAAAGCTTGAGAAAAGCTCCAAAAGTTAACTTTTTGGTTGAATTGTGAAGGGAGAAGAGAAGGGCAAGCATTTGGAGTGATTGTAAAATCGATGGGCACATTGTCCATGCGCTTGTNACCACAAGGTAGGCTGAAACCAAAATACTAATTGCTCTGAAGGTGTATTTTGTTTTTGTTACTTATTTGGACTACAGGACCTTTTCTTTCTTTCTTTCTTTAGAATTTTTCGTTAATCTATTTACCTGTTAAAAGGATAGATCATGAACGGCTTTTTCTCATGTTGAAAAGTAGAAACCTAAGACTAAAATAATCGACATTGGGTTTAGCTGGGTTGATGGGGAAAGGGATGCAACATAATGTCCTCAACATACTTAAGGAAGGACCACTAGCAATGACTACTCAAAGGCAAGTGTGTCAACCATTTGCTCTTTTTTCACTTATTTTTTTTAATGGGACATACGAATTGGGGTCACAAATGAGGCTTCACTTGTCCATCGTGGGCGGTATAGTAGAAGTCAGGTTAGTATATTCTGTAAACCAAAATACTAATTGCTTTAAAGGTATATTCTGTTTTTTGTTATTTATTTAGACTGCAGGACTTTTTCTTTAAGGATAGGTCATGAATGTCGTTTTCTCATGTTGAGAAGTAGGTATCATTGATTAAACATACAAAATTTAAAAATAGTTTAGATGGTTTGTCTAATTTCATATTCGAGTTTGGGTTTAGAGGGTTGATGGCAAAAGGGATGCAATATAATGGCCTCAATGTACTTAAGGAAGGACCACTAGCAATTAATATTCTAGAGGGGTAAATTTTGGGGTCACAACTGAGGTTTCATTAGTTCATCGTGGAACTACTAAGCTCGATATGTGATTTGGGTAGGAAGGAAAGGTTTCCATTTATATGTTTGATGAGATCTGGAGAAGGTTGTCTTATAACACAAGAGAATCAAAAAAGAAGGAGAAAAAGCTTGAGAAAAGCTCCAAAAGTTAACTTTTTGGTTGAATTGTGAAGGGAGAAGGGGAGGGCAAGCATTTGGAGTGATTGTAAAATCGATGGGCACATTGTCCATGCGCTTGTGTATAACAACCTTTTCTTATGGAACATTAGTGGTTTGAACACTACAATGGTTTTGGTCTTGTTTATTGGTTTAAAATTAAATTTTTTTGGGGGTTAGTTGTATTGTGTACAATGGATAAATCAACACTTTTTATTTGTTATATATTATGTTTTGATATATTCTTTTGCCCTGTACGTACTTCTGTTCACATTGGTTGTGTCTTCTTCTCCCGGTTTTGATTAAGAGAAGGAATTGGGCCAATCTCTTACGCTATGTTTGGTACATGGTATTAGGGCTTAGGAATGGAATGGACATTCCATGGGAATGCCTATTCTAATATTTGGTTTGCAAGATTTGAAATCCATTCTCATTCCAAAGGAATACCTAATCCCACAAATTATGGAATTAGGCATTACCAAATCCAACATGGTATTTTCCATTCCCAATCCCATCGGTAATAGCCCAATACGTCTGGAAAAAAAAAACCCGATCGTTCAAAAGAACCATGGAAGCGGTCTTTCTCGTCTCATCTCATCTCGTCTCCTCTCTCTCTCTCTCTCTCTCTTGCACACTCTCATGACTCTCATCAGATCTATGGCGTCCCCCTCCTTCCCTCCCTGTCACTCTCTTCGGTGAAGCATTGCACCAGATTCACGACCATGACCAAGACCAAATCAAATTCGACCTTTGCAACAAATCTTAGGTAATTTCTCATTCTCTTTTCACTACTTATGTTTATTTTCAAGGTTTCGACACCACCTACGAAACTAATCTCCTGCACCGATACAAATGTAATTGGGTTGTGGTGATTTGGGTCTTGCTTTGAAGGTGTTAGAGAAAATGTCGGACATAAGCATTTTCATTTTACTCACATAGATTGTGCTCTCAAATGTAGTGTAAGAAACAATTGTACTTATTTTTGTCTAATTCTGTAGTCATCTCTAGTGTGTAGACATCAAGCATATTGTTTCTTGACTGGCAAGACCACAATTTTCTATCCAAAGTGTAAATTTGAATATGCTTTGCAATACAAAAATGATGCAAATAGTCCTCCCTTCCGCAATATCAAGTGTTTTTGTCATATACACCCTAGAAAACTAATTCTGTGTATAAAAATAAATCTAGGGTGGAGGAAAAGACAACAAAACTCATATACACATTGCATGCAACATGAAGAGACGGGAAATAGGAGATGAGCAAAGAGCAATTGAGCATAAATATATGTGTGTGTGTGTGCAACCAGACAATGGAAAAAAGCCTAAAAACAATAATTAGCTGTCCTGTTTGTTTTGATAAAACAGTTGTTATTGGAGCAAAACATTCAAAATTTATGTCTGATGGTTGAGGAATGAGCCTTTAAACTATGCGATAAACATGAAATCAAAAAAGAACTTCGGCTGCTAGAGATTGCTTTAGAAAGGGCTTATAGAAATGGGAATAGGGCTCCAATTGTTGGTGTTAACGTTTCACAAATAGATTACAGTAACTGTGCTATATCTCTTTGGCAAACTATATCTCTCTGGCAAACTATGATGCGAAAATAGGGATCTACAGCTTTGAAAAGGCTTTAATGATGATCACTGCTGAGATCTTTAAAACAGAAGAAAGCCAATTACTGTGTGAGATGAATGCAATAAATAATCTAAGTAGAGAATTCAATTACTGCCATGAAGAGTATGTGTGATGGTGATGGTTAGACAATGCTGAAAGCAGAAGGTTAATTCCATATCATGTTTGATTTCTTTTGAAAGTTTAATTGTTTAATTGCCCCTTAACTACTTGAGTTGTTTTAACATTCCAATACCATGTTACCTAATAGTTGAGGGAGCAATGTAAAACTTGTAACTATAGTAGGAGGTGCATTATGAAAAACTTGATAGTTGAGAGGGTAATGTACGACAGGAGATAGTTAACCTTGTCACGACATCAACTTACTCAAATTACATCATTCTTTTGGTATTAAACATGATGATTTTGGACTGATTTTGATGAGTCATCTATTCATGCATGCTGGTAATCTGTGTTATGTATTTTGTTAGAAGATCTACTTCCTCTTTGTTTTTCTTATTTGAATTTATAATTGGTGAAGTTAAAGTTTTTATACTTATTAGTAAATGTTTATCAGGGATCTGATGCCAATAGACCCAACTGAGGCGGAGGTAGATGCAGCAGGTCTCGTGGTGGAAAATGATGCACATGATGATCGTATTACCACGGTTGAAACATCCAATGAGTGGTCAACCTTTAGATTGAATTCGGCAAACAAAATGTTTGATGAGTGGAGAGCAAGTAGACAAAGAGTGTAATTTTTTGTACTTATATTTGAGAATACTTTTGTTTCTTGGAATTCTACCTCTAATGCTATTGAGATGAAATGAAATGAATTTAAGAATTCTTTTTTTTTATTCAACTTATTTTTGTTTTCTGTATACTGTTGATTATTTTTTGGACTTACTTTTCATTGATTTTTTTTTGGTTCAACCTGCATGTTCGAATCAGATTGCTAGTTGTCTTTATATTTTTTTTTTTTGGGTTTGCACATGTGCTCTATTGAATTCACAAAGAATTATAGTTGTTCATTTGAAATGAATGACAAATTTTGAATATTTTTTGATTTTGAATATTTTTTGATTTCTTTTTGTGAACCTATTTTCGAAGGAATTTGTTTTCTATTTTTTTAAAATTTATAGTGGCTTAATTGTTTTCAATGGATTATCAAATTTTCTAATTATAAATTTTTGTACACAACTTGCAATTGCAATCATAAAAAAAAATTGTTATTAATTATTTTTAGTCATTAGGGATATTTTGATTAAAGTTGTTTTCATTCCGATGAAAAAATTGTTTTATCCAAACACAGGAATGAAATATCCATCACTTAATCCTAAACGGTTGCCAAACATTGAAAAAGTAATGCGCATTCCATTCCATTCCATTTTCAAGTTCATTTCATTCCTACTGAAAATATTATCGCATACCAAACGCAACGTTAGTGTCCATGAGTGTAATCACATTTTTTCAATCTCCTAATGACAACATTGATTTGGATCTATGTATGATTTAAGTGTAATCACATTTACCGAATATCGTGTAATATTTATAGAGATTGTAAACCACCACCCTAGGTGTGTGATTTGCAAGAAAGAAAAGATTGGATATCATGTATTCGTTGTCATTATGGCTAATATATGGGAAATCAAGTATCATCAAAAACAATTGTGAGGTTATGTTTAGGAATTCAAACACTTGATTTAGAAGTCTTATATGATTCCCCGAATTTCTTTTTTTGTCCGTAGAAATTGTAGTTAGATGTTATGATTACTTGGCTTCTTAAAAAATAATTGGATTATTTGCAAGTTATGCTGTTAATAATATATTAAGAGTTATGGATGGGTGGCATTGTTTGAAAATAGAGGTTCTATTCGAGTCACTACTGAAGAACACTATGTTTTAAGGATAGTCCAAACATCGTTGTTGGTGGAAAAAGTGTGTCAAAGAACAAGGCGAAGCATTCAAAAAGAAATGGTGTATACAGAAGGTTAGTGACTGCTCAAGGGTTCGCTGATTTTCCCTTTAGAGGCGAGATAATAAGCCTGCTAATGTTGAAAGTTATGTTATCTTCTTCAACTGTAATCACATTTACAGAAGGGAAGGTGGAACGGTTAGTAACTACTCGAGGGTGGTACCTCTCTGAGTTTCCTTTAGGGACGAGACAATAAGTCTGTTAATGTTGAAAGTTCCGTTATCTTCTTTAGCAATTCAACTATTACACCTAAGGAACAGGGGAATGGTTAGCGAATGTTTGAGGGTGATACCTCTATGATTTTTTCTTTAGAAAAGAGACGGTAAGCCCGTTAATGCTAAAAGTTTTGATATCTTCTTCAGCCATTTAACTAAGGGTTTTAAGAGGTCCGGTATTTTTTTTTAGAAATTATAGGGCAAAAAATACTACTTTTAAAAATATAGGTAAAAAAGTATCCAACCCCTAACAAATTTCTAAAATACTCTCTTTAATAGAATAAGAATTGATTCTTATATTTTTGCTTCCACAACCAAAATTTAAGGGATCTCAACTATTACACATAAATCTCTCAAATATAGTCGAAAACCTCATTTTTCCAAAAACTTCCATTTGAATTTCCAAATCTTCCGGTGTAAATGTCAGCCAAGTGGGAAAAAAAAACGTGCACCACATTTTATCCAGACTTCATAAAACGTTAAGGTTAATTTTGAAAAAAAAAATAATATAATAATAAAAAATAATAAAGTAACAAAAACACACACATGACACATTTTTTATTTGTCTACAGTAACAAAAATTATATTTCAGTTCTGCAACACTCATTTAAGAAAAAGTTACCAAGTCAAGTAACGCAACAGTACTTAGGATACACAAAAATGACTGATGCTGGTTTCTAGCAGTGTGAATTTAATTTATAGCAGTGTGACATTTTTTAGTACCTGTGTGATATTATCTTGTAGTACTGTGACATTATTGTGCGAGACAGTAAATTATCCTCCGAATTAAAATTATCATCTTGATTATTATGATCATCCCCATTTGAATCATCATCATTGACATTTATCCTTACATGAACATGATTGACGTTAAGAGACCGTAACAATTTTTTTATTTTTTAAAAAAAAAACATATGGACGACATTGTAGTAGTGTGAATTTGGTTTGTAGCAGTGTGACAATTTCTAGTACTAGTATGACATTGTCTTGTAGCACTGTGACATTATTGTGTGAGATAACAAATCATCATCCGAATTAGAATCATCATATTGATTATGACGATTTATATAAAAAAAAATAAATTATACAAATATGAAAAAAACATGAATGTTTGAATAACTTAAGTTGAATGAAGGAGAAAGATATAATTTAATATTCAAAAATGCTATTTCATAAATTTAGGAAACTGAATTTCTAATATAACTGTCATATTTGTCTCTCATTAATAAAAGAAAAGGGCAATTTCGTAAGAGAAAAAATTTCAATCCAATAAAAGTGTACTTCTTTACTAAATATTTATACACAAAGGTACTTATACACATATATTCTATATTAAAGTATTTTACACAAATAAGTATGAAATAGTGTATTTTTTCACAATTTTCCCTTAACTATTTNATACTTATACACATATGTTCTATATTAAAGTAATTTACACAAATAAGTATGAAATAGTGTATTTTTTCACAATTTTCCCTTAACTATTTATTGGTGGCCATAAGATAGTTTGTTTGTTTCTGTCGTAAAGGTTATTCGTTTCAATTGCATTTTGTTGTTATAACATAGTAGGTTTGTCTCTGTAGTAAAGATTATTCATATCAATTGCATTTTGCTGCTAATAGTTAGTTGGTTATTAGGGGTTTAGAGAGGGATGATGTTGATGAAATGAGCACAATCGATTACCAGAGGAAGAAAGAAATAGGTGATGGAGAAGACACTGCATAAACAAGTTACTTTTTTTGAGAATGCAGGTTCAACTCCAGGAGTAGCNATTACCAGAGGAAGAAAGAAATAGGTGATGGAGAAGAAACACTGCATAAACAAGTTACTTTTTTTGAGAATGCAGGTTCAACTCCAGGAGTAGCTATTTAGTGCGAATATGTGAAAGCTTATGATTGTTTTCAGTCATCACCCTACAGCACCTTGCCTAAGTGCGATCGAATTGAGAAATGACTTTTTATGCTTTGGTTTCTTGCTTGACAATAATTAGCTGTGCAAGCTTTCTTTTATCTCTAAATGTTCATGATTTATTAGGTGCACCGCCATTTAAATCTTTTGGTAAGTATGCAAACACCGGTGCCCCACTTGATCCTGCATCTTTCCCTTTAGGGTCATAAGATATACTACTTAAGCTAACAGCTGGTAACACTTCGTATGGTGCTTTTTTACTTCAGTTTACTTCTGACGTTGGCCTGATACAATGATGGTTTTCGTTCTTTGATCCTTTATTGGTGACTGAGGTGTCTAATTGTCTAAGGTGGCCAGTTAAAATGATGGTTTTGGAGCTTCTACCCTTTATTGGTGAGTAAGGTGTCTAAGGTTAATTGGAAAAGGGTAAGAATTTGTGATGGCACACGACTATGGAGAAAATGGTGTATTCTCACCCATTTCATTTACATATGTAAGTGTACGGGCACCCATGGGGTGATATTCAGGGTGGTATGCAAGGATTTTGCGAGGTTAGCATGAGGCATCTTGTTTGACCTCCATCGTCCCAAGGAGTTGGTGCAATTCGGAGATCAAGTTTTATGTGGCATGCTGTTCTGTTATGTGGCCAGGTTTTCTCATTTGGTGATGTGTTGCCTGGGTTTGCAGTTCAATTTGTTCAGCTAATTTAGGAGTTGACAAGTCCTGCGGGAGGTTCATAATGGAGGTAACAGCTCTTGGTCAGGCCAGAGGAGTTCCAGGGGAGCTGGATCCTTTTGGAAAGGACCTCCCATTTGTCTTTGTGGGTTATTGGAAGTAAAGAAGTAGGCATACTTTCGAGGGGTGGAGCTTCAGTTAATGAGCTCAGGAATTGTATCATTATCTATTGGTATCAGTCACGTGCCTGGGGAAAAACTTTGTCTTTGCTAGCTGGTTCATCATACTTTTAAGTATACTTCTAGATTGATTTGTCTCCCCCTGGGTGGTGCACATAGGTTGGAAGGGAGAAGAGAGAGAGAATGCTCTCTCCCCTTTAAATCCTATTTTTACCCTTTTTGGACTCTTGGTTACTATTTTGCTTCTTTTTTTTTTATTACTTTTAGAGAGAGGAAACTTGAACCCTTTAGGAGTACCATTAAACCATAGGCCCGTTGGTGCTTCTTATTTCTCCTGCGATTGTTTATAATAACTTAAGAAAGCTTACATGCTTGTGCTTTCTAGTTTGCAATAGACGTATTCAATATATGAAATAATCCATTAAAACCATCATGACGTGGGACTTTCATTGCCCCTAATTGAACAGCTGTGAGATTGCCTCCCTCCTAGTCACTGGCCAAAGNGGGAAACTTGAACCCTTTAGGGGTACCATTAAACCATAGGCCCATTGGTGCTTCTTATTTCTCCTGGGATTGTTTATAATAACTGAAGAAAGCTTACATGCTTGTGCTTTCTAGTTCGCAATAGACGTATTCAATATATGAAATAATCCATTAAAACCATCATGACATGGGACTTTCATTGCCCCTAATTGAACAGCTGTGAGATTGCCTCCCTCCTAGTCACTGGCCAAAGCAATCTGTGCCTGTTATCAGCAATTGAGAAACCTAAACTAAGCATTCATTCACCAATTTTCACATTGTTAGTTACTCAGTTCCACGACCTTATTTATCGGATTCACACAGGTTTTAACAGTCTCAGTCCACAAACTTCTGTATTGATCATCTGACCAAATCTAGCATGGAAATTCATAGGATAAAAAAGTAATATATGAAGTTTTTATTCTTTTATTTATCCTTAATTAGGGTTGCGTAAGAGGGGGCAGGGGATATGGTTTTTGCTTCGAATTGGCTTTTAGGCTTTACTTTGGTAGGAAAAAATTCTATTTGCCAACTGTTTGTGTTCATTTGTTTTGTTTCCCACCTTGCCTTCAACTCTTCAATGCCTTACCACTGGAAGTTGGTTTTAGGGAATAAAAATATAGGAGCATTTAAAAAATTTCATGCCGTTCCAGTGGTATATGACTAACCCCTTCTGCCCTTCATATGGTACATGCCAAGTAACTAGTTTGTACAACATGCCTGCAGGAAGCATGCCCCTAATGAAGCAGTTAAGTGTTGCGATCATTGACAGCAATCCTGCTTTAATGAGTGGGCGTTCCATCAACAAAGAGGATCCCCAGATCCAAGGGTCAGTACCATCACTCCTGCAACCCTCTCTCTTTTCAAAGTTGTTTCAAATTGTGCTTAGCTAAATAATTTCATTTACCTGAAAAACAATTATTTCATTTTCCTTGATTTGCGCTCAAACGGTTACATCCATAGTACCTATTCTAAAAAAAAAGGAAACAGTCACCAGAGGTTTTTTCAGGTTAATCATTTATTTATCTCTTGTGGTTAGGCTCAACAACACAATACCTTAGTAAAGTTTTAAAATGTTAGTTGCTGGTTGCATGAACTTGTAGGTCTATTGTTCAAGATATTAGTATCTTGAGAAAATTTTTCTAGATGTGGTTTTGTGATTTTCGGGCCCACTGATGAAAAGAAAAACCATCTCTTTATGTATCTGAAGTTTCTCTGTTTTTTCTTGGAATAGTGTTTTATCCCATCTTAAAGTTTTGATGACAACTTATTGATTGTCTTATGATTTTTGGTTTTGATCTTTTGAAGTGTTGCCCAGTATGCCTGGAAGTACAATATATTTTTCTGAAAAAGATGAGAAGGAATGTTTTGTTACTTCTAACCATGTAACAGTGACAGTTCTACTTTGAAGATGTTGGCACTTGGCATTATGTTGAACAACATCGACATGGTTATTTTGATAGGATGCAGTTAATGGTGGTTGTTCTTAAATTTATATTTTTCAATTGTCTAGGTAATTGTTGGAAAAAATCTTCCCAAAGCAGTTCTTTCTTGATTATGCTTATGAGAAAGTTTTGTGTCCTTTGTGTGTAGAGCATGCTAACATTCAGATTCAAAGTCTAAACTAGTGGAACAAAATCAATTTCCTTACTATATTACCCCTAAAAAACTTTACTTTTTGAACAGTAGGATTAATGGACATATGTTCGGGGCATAAACACATTGCCACATTCTTGTAGTGGAAGAAGCCTTGATCATTGGGTGTGTACTATTTTGTGAACTTTTGTGGGGATTTGTTTCATATGAATCATTGTTTATTGATGGTTTTCACCATGAAGCTTTGGAAAAACTGATGAGGTCTTTTGGACTTTCCTTTTTATCCAGTCCAGTGATGGAACAAAAAATGCTAACTTCATTCATTCTTTTTCTGTTCAATCAAAGCCAACATGGGCGAATATCTACTCTTTCAATTGTAGAGTTAGCTCATGATTTCCCCGAATAGATGAATGAGTTTTTGGTTGCTTCCGCCATCCCAACCAATGAATCATTAGGGTTTCTCTTGCTTTTGGCATAGCGGGCCAGTGGGAGGCTCACACGACGGGCTATTAGTTCAATGATAGAGTGCGCCCCTAATAATTGTTTCATTGTGCCTGGGTTGTGAGGGTTCTCAACCACATGGATAGTTCAATGTACTTATCAACACTTGACCCTGAGATGCCTTATATAGATCCATAATAGGCTTATAGAAATTATTGTACGTCAAATATCATCAAAAGTATTGGTTTCAGAAGATGGAATGTCTAATGTTTTTTCACTCGGAGAATTAATTGGATTGTTGCGAGCGGAACGAATGGGGCATGCTTTGGAAGAAGCAAACTATTACCAAACCATCTTCACCCAAAGAAAATAGAGTCGAAAGATACCAAAACAATGTTGTATCAAACTACGTGTCTTCTTGTAGTTGGATCTCTAAGTTTTTGGAATGCTCCGAATTCTACTTGAGCATCCAACATCTCTGAACAAAGTTCTAGCACCATGCCAACCAAATATGTCTGAAGAAGAAGAGCACATCAAATGAAGCATGTCCAAAAGTAAGACTGCTACGAAAAACACAATCAGAAGTAATCTTGTTGCATTTGAAATTTTACTGTGGAAGTGGTGGCCTTGGAGGGAAAGTCTCAAATCTAGACATTTGTTGGGGTACTAATGTCAACGAATATCTAACAAAAAATAAAACTGTTCTGATACCAATTGAAAGGAGGATGCTCTCTTGAGTTTTACACTTTTAAATATAAATTTACGAAATAGTTCAATCCAAGCACGATGATGCAATATTAGCAGTCAAATTAGAATTGCATACAATATCAGTAGGGTCGATCATCTAACCACCCTATGATCAATATATAAATGATATACCTCACTTAATGTGTTTAGAGAAACCACAACAATTCCATCTCAAAATAATCCAAAGGCAAGTGGTTTTTACATAGAAAACCAAACCGGGAAAAACATTGTACAAAAGAAGGACTTGAGGGGAGTGGTTGGAATACCAAGGGAATCAATGCTATATTTAGTGTTGTCACCCCTAAAGATTTATGAAATATCATATTCATGACATGCAAAACTTCCAAGCATGAAACATTTTGCAGGTGATCCCCATTGGTTCCTACACAATAGAATCTCTAAGCTCCAAATGCTGACCTCACTATTTAAAAGAATTATGATATGTAGGATCATGAAAACTTTTGTAAATTTTATTCTAAACTTGGTGACGTAATTCATTCATCCTTCGACCTATATGAAAGAATCCTTGAGACTGAAATAATGAAATTCTTAAGGTCTCTACCGGAGAGATTCCAGTATAAGGTTTTTGTCATAGATCAGAGTAAGGATGTGGATGTTGTTCTCACCTATAACTAGTGAACAAATGACCATGGTCCTAAAGGCAAGCATCATAAAAGCCACCCAACTTAGAAATAGAAGAGAAAAAGTTTACATGCAATTTAGAAGGNTGTGGATGTTGTTCTCACCTATAACTAGTGAACAAATGACCATGGTCCTAAAGGCAAGCATCTTAAAAGCCACCCAACTTAGAAATAGAAGAGAAAAAGTTTACATGCAATTTAGAAGGCTAGTTAATATCATAAAAGAAATACCCATCGTTCTTTCTCAAAGTAAAACTAAATGCCAAGTTAATAATTTTTTATTTTTCCTCTTCAGTCAAAAGCTCCTTGGCTTTACTAGGGCGTTTGGCATGTACCCATTGCTAGAATAATTATCGGAATACGGGTTTTTTATTGGTTGAATGGCAGAATGATCGGGCTAAGAGTGAGAACTTGGATTTGTATCAAAGAGGAGCAGTTTGTGCAAAAATTCCCGAAATTGGGTATATATCTAGCCTAGCTTTTATAGCACTTTGCATATCCGGGAACAATCTGAAGAATGACCTTTTAGCATAGTGCAACGGCATGTAACATGGTTCAAAGGATCAACTGATACTAACATGGATCAGCCAAGTCATATCCGACTTGACATTTTCAGTTCTGTGTAAACCACGAGTCTTACTCGCCTAATTGTTGACTTGGAGGCATCTTGGATGACTCAACGGAGTTATTCGAGTCATCATTCTACTACAAGGCGATATTATTCTACAACATCGAGATATGCCCTGAAACACTCTTCAAGTCTAATTTCATGTGTCTCGCCTAACACCATTCCATCATGTCGCAACTAATATGTCTCAATGCCCTCCGAGTCCATTACCTATACTGTGACCTTGGACTATTGCCGGTAATGCCCAAACAGTGTAAGGGCTGCAAACCTTGGGGGGAGAAAGAAGACTTGAGATGATTGCCTTTTGCTTAAAATTTCTTTAGCTGTTGAACCATAAAATGTTGAGCAACATGGCCACTAAGATCAAGATGGCTGAACAGATGTCAAGGTAGAGGTAAAAGGATTTGATTTGGCATGCACTGTAAGAATTCTACAGAATTGAGTCAATGTTAGAATCTGAAGACATTACGCTTGGATCATCTGCATGTCATCTGGTGTAACTGTGTAAGATTTTTATGTTATATTTCACTTGGAAAAATGTGTCCATAAGCTGGCTGCTCTTGTTCTTTGGTTAATTGTTTATTGCTCAATTAAGAGTCTGGTTCATTTTTTGCAAGTGTCGCTATTAAAGAAACATGAAGCAGACAGGAAACCTGCAAATGTGACAAGGATGGTTATCGTGAATGGTTTTCAGAAGGCGTACTCTGTTCGTTTTGGACCGCTAAATATATTACAAGCTGCTGCATTCCATGGGGCACACTATATCTCACCACTCAAAAGGAATATCATCTCTTTTGCTTCAGGCGAGCAGAGATTGCCAGTTTTCTAGTAAGATAAATGTATTTCACATCTGTGACATGTATATATGGCAAGAGCCATTTTACATAAGCCATATCCTGGGACTTGGTGGTAGCAAATTCTGGCATTTAGGTTCCAGATTTTTTGTTGTTTCTTTTCATCTCTGTTCCTGGCCCCTTTCTTTGTATCTCCATTGACATGAGCCCCCGAGATGAAAGAGTATGCATTTTGGGGTTCTCGAGGATTGAGATTTTGGGGTTTTGTCCTCTCTTTCTAGAGTCATGACAATTGTGTTGTTCTATTTTGCAATGTGGGTTAATGATTACAGGAATGGGTTTTGCACCATTTCACGTTAACTAAACTATAGTGGCTCCCTAATTACCACAAGAGTCGGATCTCAACCGAATGTCCGATATTCATACAGGTAGAAAAGGTGTGTGTGTGGCGTGTTTTCTGGCTGTGGGCACCCAGCCATTGAGGTGGCACGTACTTCTACCCTAAGATTTGAGAAATGGGAAAAAAAAATTCGGAAAAATGCATATTTAAGAAGTTTTGTGTCACTTCAGTTCTAATTCTTTTAATTATATCACTTTAATCTTTCAAATTTCTAATTTGCATACTTTTTTCCAATGGAAAACGATTATTTAAACTTACATGACCAAATTTGATGAATTACTTTATTCTCAAGTTTTTAGTTTGTATAACTCAATCATTTCCATTTAGATTCACCAAAGTTTTCCATTTAAATTTGTTACTTTTGTCTTGCAATTTAAACCATTGAGATGAAATTAGTCACTAAAAAGATTAGAGTCGGCCCTATCACAAAGCCAACAGAGCCACTTTAGGCTCCATATTTCAAGAAGATCTCAAATTTTTTTACATGCATAGTTAGTCCAAATCAAAATTTTTAAATTCATAAGATTTTAGGCCTTAAAAGAAACCCTATGAAAATTTAAAGGGGCTTAGGGAGGTCGATACCTCCCTAAAAACTTAATAGGATAAAAGTATATTTTTTAAAATAATTGAGATAGAAGTACATCTCTTAAAAAAAANACATCTGTTTCATTCCATCAGTAATGTCTTGTACACAAAAGTGAACCTTAGACAACAAGGTTTCCTGTTTAGGAAATCAAGGGAAAGTGAGGGCTGAGGGTTTACCTGTTTGTGTTGTGAACCTTATATGTATGCATATTTACTCCTATACAGTGCAGGTGACCAACTCCATTATGAATTTTTTTGATCAAGTATGCATATATACTCCATTTGCAGAAATGAGGAGTTACATCATCTCTAACAATTAAATTTTTAGATTATGGTTTAATAGTGTTCAAGGTTGCTTTGTGGTGGTAACTCTTGTTGGCTTTTGTCAACTCAGACTTGTTTCTGTATGAACACTATAGCCCTTTGATTGACTGATGTAAAGAAGATTCAAAGAAGAGGTATTTGGGACATCTGTTTCATTCCATCAGTAATGTCTTGTACACAAAAGTGAACCTTAGACAACAAGGTTTCCTGTTTAGGAAATCAAGGGAAAGTGAGGGCTGAGGGTTTACCTGTTTGTGTTGTGAACCTTATATGTATGCATATTTACTCCTATACAGTGCAGGTGACCAACTCCATTATGAATTTTTTTGATCAAGTATGCATATATACTCCATTTGCAGAAATGAGGAGTTACATCATCTCTAACAATTAAATTTTTAGATTATGGTTTAATAGTGTTCAAGGTTGCTTTGTGGTGGTAACTCTTGTTGGCTTTTGTCAACTCAGACTTGTTTCTGTATGAACACTATAGCCCTTTGATTGACTGATGTAAAGAAGATTCAAAGAAGAGGTATTTGGGACATCTGTTTCATTCCATCAGTAATGTCTTGTACACAAAAGTGAACCTTAGACAACAAGGTTTCCTGTTTAGGAAATCAAGGGAAAGTGAGGGCTGAGGGTTTACCTGTTTGTGTTGTGAACCTTATATGTATGCATATTTACTCCTATACAGTGCAGGTGACCAACTCCATTATGAATTTTTTTGATCAAGTATGCATATATACTCCATTTGCAGAAATGAGGAGTTACATCATCTCTAACAATTAAATTTTTAGATTATGGTTTAATAGTGTTCAAGGTTGCTTTGTGGTGGTAACTCTTGTTGGCTTTTGTCAACTCAGACTTGTTTCTGTATGAACACTATAGCCCTTTGATTGACTGATGTAAAGAAGATTCAAAGAAGAGGTATTTGGGACATCTGTTTCATTCCATCAGTAATGTCTTGTACACAAAAGTGAACCTTAGACAACAAGGTTTCCTGTTTAGGAAATCAAGGGAAAGTGAGGGCTGAGGGTTTACCTGTTTGTGTTGTGAACCTTATATGTATGCATATTTACTCCTATACAGTGCAGGTGACCAACTCCATTATGAATTTTTTTGATCAAGTATGCATATATACTCCATTTGCAGAAATGAGGAGTTACATCATCTCTAACAATTAAATTTTTAGATTATGGTTTAATAGTGTTCAAGGTTGCTTTGTGGTGGTAACTCTTGTTGGCTTTTGTCAACTCAGACTTGTTTCTGTATGAACACTATAGCCCTTTGATTGACTGATGTAAAGAAGATTCAAAGAAGAGGTATTTGGGACATCTGTTTCATTCCATCAGTAATGTCTTGTACACAAAAGTGAACCTTAGACAACAAGGTTTCCTGTTTAGGAAATCAAGGGAAAGTGAGGGCTGAGGGTTTACCTGTTTGTGTTGTGAACCTTATATGTATGCATATTTACTCCTATACAGTGCAGGTGACCAACTCCATTATGAATTTTTTTGATCAAGTATGCATATATACTCCATTTGCAGAAATGAGGAGTTACATCATCTCTAACAATTAAATTTTTAGATTATGGTTTAATAGTGTTCAAGGTTGCTTTGTGGTGGTAACTCTTGTTGGCTTTTGTCAACTCAGACTTGTTTCTGTATGAACACTATAGCCCTTTGATTGACTGATGTAAAGAAGATTCAAAGAAGAGGTATTTGGGACATCTGTTTCATTCCATCAGTAATGTCTTGTACACAAAAGTGAACCTTAGACAACAAGGTTTCCTGTTTAGGAAATCAAGGGAAAGTGAGGGCTGAGGGTTTACCTGTTTGTGTTGTGAACCTTATATGTATGCATATTTACTCCTATACAGTGCAGGTGACCAACTCCATTATGAATTTTTTTGATCAAGTATGCATATATACTCCATTTGCAGAAATGAGGAGTTACATCATCTCTAACAATTAAATTTTTAGATTATGGTTTAATAGTGTTCAAGGTTGCTTTGTGGTGGTAACTCTTGTTGGCTTTTGTCAACTCAGACTTGTTTCTGTATGAACACTATAGCCCTTTGATTGACTGATGTAAAGAAGATTCAAAGAAGAGGTATTTGGGACATCTGTTTCATTCCATCAGTAATGTCTTGTACACAAAAGTGAACCTTAGACAACAAGGTTTCCTGTTTAGGAAATCAAGGGAAAGTGAGGGCTGAGGGTTTACCTGTTTGTGTTGTGAACCTTATATGTATGCATATTTACTCCTATACAGTGCAGGTGACCAACTCCATTATGAATTTTTTTGATCAAGTATGCATATATACTCCATTTGCAGAAATGAGGAGTTACATCATCTCTAACAATTAAATTTTTAGATTATGGTTTAATAGTGTTCAAGGTTGCTTTGTGGTGGTAACTCTTGTTGGCTTTTGTCAACTCAGACTTGTTTCTGTATGAACACTATAGCCCTTTGATTGACTGATGTAAAGAAGATTCAAAGAAGAGGTATTTGGGACATCTGTTTCATTCCATCAGTAATGTCTTGTACACAAAAGTGAACCTTAGACAACAAGGTTTCCTGTTTAGGAAATCAAGGGAAAGTGAGGGCTGAGGGTTTACCTGTTTGTGTTGTGAACCTTATATGTATGCATATTTACTCCTATACAGTGCAGGTGACCAACTCCATTATGAATTTTTTTGATCAAGTATGCATATATACTCCATTTGCAGAAATGAGGAGTTACATCATCTCTAACAATTAAATTTTTAGATTATGGTTTAATAGTGTTCAAGGTTGCTTTGTGGTGGTAACTCTTGTTGGCTTTTGTCAACTCAGACTTGTTTCTGTATGAACACTATAGCCCTTTGATTGACTGATGTAAAGAAGATTCAAAGAAGAGGTATTTGGGACATCTGTTTCATTCCATCAGTAATGTCTTGTACACAAAAGTGAACCTTAGACAACAAGGTTTCCTGTTTAGGAAATCAAGGGAAAGTGAGGGCTGAGGGTTTACCTGTTTGTGTTGTGAACCTTATATGTATGCATATTTACTCCTATACAGTGCAGGTGACCAACTCCATTATGAATTTTTTTGATCAAGTATGCATATATACTCCATTTGCAGAAATGAGGAGTTACATCATCTCTAACAATTAAATTTTTAGATTATGGTTTAATAGTGTTCAAGGTTGCTTTGTGGTGGTAACTCTTGTTGGCTTTTGTCAACTCAGACTTGTTTCTGTATGAACACTATAGCCCTTTGATTGACTGATGTAAAGAAGATTCAAAGAAGAGGTATTTGGGACATCTGTTTCATTCCATCAGTAATGTCTTGTACACAAAAGTGAACCTTAGACAACAAGGTTTCCTGTTTAGGAAATCAAGGGAAAGTGAGGGCTGAGGGTTTACCTGTTTGTGTTGTGAACCTTATATGTATGCATATTTACTCCTATACAGTGCAGGTGACCAACTCCATTATGAATTTTTTTGATCAAGTATGCATATATACTCCATTTGCAGAAATGAGGAGTTACATCATCTCTAACAATTAAATTTTTAGATTATGGTTTAATAGTGTTCAAGGTTGCTTTGTGGTGGTAACTCTTGTTGGCTTTTGTCAACTCAGACTTGTTTCTGTATGAACACTATAGCCCTTTGATTGACTGATGTAAAGAAGATTCAAAGAAGAGGTATTTGGGACATCTGTTTCATTCCATCAGTAATGTC